CGGCCTCTGCGTCACAAAAAAAGCAGTCTGGAAAGTAAGCAAGATCGTTAACGGAAAGCGTGTCAAGGCAGTAGCATGGCCTGCGGTTGAGTGAACACCATCGCGAGTCTGACTGAGGTCAATAGGTTGATGAGCGCCTCGATGTCAAGACGATATCAGCTAGCAGGAGGGATAAAGGTCTACCAAACTTTGACCACATACTAAGGCCTACATTTTATTTATACCTGGTTCACTAGACAGACAAGAAATTGTTTTGATGTGAACAAAACCGTTTAATGCGATTGCTGCGGAAAAATCAACAACAGTGGTATTGTAGTGTGTCAACTAATCAACGGATCTTCGGAAACTTTGAATAGGTTACAAGAAAACTGTGAGTTCAAGATGACTAATACCCGAATTCCAAATAGTGCAGTAGTTTATAACTCAGAATTCAAGAAGAGTTAAACTTTGGCGTCTTAAATTAACCATTAACGGTTTCAACCACAATTCGTGATCTACGGCGCGGTTAGAAAGTGAGGACCCAACCAGGGCTGAGGCGAAATTTGTCCACTAGATCAATACCTAGATGAAATACGGAAACATTCGTTGTTCTACCACACAATTTGAATAAACGTAATCTGGGGACAAACTTGCCTCCCTCCCAACAACGAGCCTAGCTAGTGCAACAGGTTTCTATAACAACTTTTCGTTTCCTCTACTCTACTTTGGAACTCCCAGTACATTCAAAAGAAAACAAATCAAGACCAGGTCTCCGCCATAATGACCATAACGACGCATAAAATTACGTTGCGTTCGACAGAGTTCAATAGAGAACGTGTACACTCACCACTGCATTTTACCGCTTCCGTCCACAAAACCTACGAGTTGCCGATTAGCACTGAGAAGGCAAATTTATACACTGAGTAAAAGTGTTTTTCAGGCGAGAAAGCTACCAGCGTTCGTTGATTGGATGCTCTAAAAAGCCAATCGAAATCAGCTCTTGTGTTGGATGAAACCCTTTATCTAATTTCAGCGTGAATACTCGTCAAGAAAATGGTTGGTTTACGGTGATTCATTTGGGCGGGTGGGATCATAAACAAAAGCCTTTCCTAAGACGGACTTTGACCACCCCACCTCCCGTGTAGGAGCGCTAACTTTCCTTGGATTTCTGATCTGCAAACTTATCAACCTTGAATCCTCAAAAGGTTTCATATTTTAGTTCGTGATGAGTGATTTACCTCAGTCATCAACCTAACTGTTCAGTAAGCTGTGAGCTAGCCACACTCGTGTTGTGCGCTTGGTGCCAATAGCCAAGCGTTAGAGTTTACAGGCAGTATCCAGGATAACTTGTTCGCTTGCTCGGAGCTCGCATGGGGAACGGAGAACACCGATGGGAGGCACATAGTAATGTAAACGAGAGAATCAATTGAGTTCCTCGTGAAAACCAAATTGATTTGCAAATGGGTGTATTTGTCGAAATCAGTCCAACGTGGGTTCAAGTAGGACATGAGGTTGACGGAAACTCGGGGACTGCGCCTACCTGATGAGCCCCAAGAAGGGCGAAACCGGTCGTGGGCTGTCCAAGAGCTTCCAATAACCTTATGAGTAGTTTCCCTTATAAAAATATACTGCGATCTCTCGAATATCGTGCCAAATGAAGCATGAAGCCGCCTGTGTGCTCCACATTCAGTTGTGGAATATCATAAACGAGAGATTCAGTCGAGTCTCTCGTGAAGACCAAATCGATTTGCAAATGAGTGTATTTCTCGAAAACAACGTAATCTTGTCTATGAAACCAATGCAGTTATGATAAAACGCTATGCTTACATTATATCTGTCCACGGAAAATTAGGAAGTCAGTCAGTTCTGAGTAATGTTTCCAGGACCGCTTGTTGAGCTACCCCAAGTTGGAGTCTCAAGAAAGTTCAAACTACTGGGAAATAACAATCGGATACCTGAAAATTTGTTCGAAATTTGCGTGCAAACTTTAGGAGGCCAACCGTTCCTAGTAGTCCACCAAGTGTCTCACCTAAACAAATTAGCCCAAAACCTATTGCGTCTGCTTACATTCCAACTGCACATTGTTCCTCAATGGCCTAGCCGACGTGTCTGACTTGTCGCCCTCGACGAATGGTAATTCAAATGTCTGCGGCACATGTGATCACCCCGAAGTGAAGTGAATAGATCTGAATACACGTGTACCCATCTACTCAGCTGTCTTGTTGACTTGAGGAGTCGCTGTACGGGTAGAAACCCTATAGGACCGATCTCTCATAACATGGGAATATTCGAGTAGTTTGACACATTCGAAATTCGGACGACCATCCAATGGTTTTCAGCTGATTGTTTTCAACGCCGATGAGCGAGAAACCATAACAGTGAGGCGAGAATTACTTCACGATAATCTACATATCTGCGAAATTTTATCCCAATATGTTTATGTATCCGGATGCTAGAGCTAACGAAAATAATGGTACTAATACGATGAACTGCGCATCCATTCCGACCACACCTCCATGCGGCGCGTTACTTGAAGAGGTTAATCAGCAAGTACCAAGTGAGTGCACTAGTGGCTAGTGAATTGTAAGGTAATTCGAAATGCTACAAACACACTTGTTTGACTTCGAAAGCTAAAGGGAATGAGCTTAGTTGGACCGGAGATTCACGAGTTAGTGGGAAATTTTAGCCTAACCTTTTAAAGATTGATACTGAACACAAAACAAACAAGAGGAATCGAAAGGCACAACTTCATTGTGTGGGTTTAAAGCTACAGCCTGTAGTTAGGTCTTTGCAGTCAACCACCAGGGAAAAGGACCAAAAACGTGGTGTTATTGCTGTCGACCAATCTCAGCCATTTGGAGCAATCCAAAGGAGAGGTCTTATAGATGTAAACGGCCAACGTGTTTGAGTGTTGCTCAGGCCTGAGTAGGTGCAGCTATACCTTTTCACCAGTCTGACGCGTACACGCTCGTGTAGCGGACAGGGATGAGGAGTACGGTTGCGATCGGCATTGGGTTCCAATTCGTACAGTTTTAAGCTGAGAACAGCAGTGGGACGTGTCAAAACGAACGAAAGCAAAACAAACCATCGTAGGCGTTGATGCACCATGTATTTTACTTTCATAATAACCGTACCACAAAGAGCACGAACGACTGGGTGAGTTTGTATTCGCGAATCCAAACTTTTGCATGAAAAAACTGAGTTGTTTCAAGATACCTTATTTTGTAGTATTTAATTCAAATAGGTGCGTGTTTTCAGTACACCTGACCAACCATTGCATTAACCCTAACACCAGAGTAATCACGTGAGTTGCGAGCAAACCGAAAAACCTGTTTCTCCACAACGGCACCAGCTATCAGCCACAGTTTGCATCAAGTATCGTGCATGAAATTCTCGGTCATAGTCCGCTACGGTCAGTCCACTGTGACTAGTCTGGAAAGTTTCTCTGTTGCCTCAGGACCGACTGCGCGAATGGACTAAACGGTGCAGGGTGCACACTTTTGGCGAACTCAAATAAAGCAGGTGACGCAGTAGCAACCACTTTCAATGTACGGACTGAGGAACGGCCTTGTACGTACGTTCTACCACTTTCAATGTACGGACTGAGGAACGGTTCTGCACGTACGTTCTCTCGATCCCATAAACGAGGCCAATCAACGGTAGTATACCGGCTGAACTACGACCAGATATCGTTCGGATTGCGGTGCAATAAAGGCTGGTTTGGGAGTCTTGAGGAAGGACCAGCAACCTCGCCTAGCGTGTTGGCCAGATAGACAGGCGGCACAGTCGATGGGTGCACGGGCGCCGCACTACGGAATTTACGAGGACACAGTACATTCCGTGCTTAATCGCTGTTTTAGTCAATGTAGTAACTGAAAGTGTTTATGAATTAATCAGGTGTTCCGAGAGCTTAGCTGCAGACTGCACGCAAACCAAAAACGTTGATGCTTCAAGACGGCCAGGATGGGACCTGGATGCAACTCGACGGTGTTCTTCGCCAGCCTGCAGCAGTCGTTGGATCGGGCTTTGCTGGGATTGGACGTAGAGTTGCACCAGCAATTGCTGTCTGACCAGTTCGTCCAAGGTATGCAGTCTGCATTTCGTGCCCAGTTGAGGTTGGCGAAAGTGACTGGACAGTTGGGTGTGGAGGAGTTGGTGCATCTGGCACGGGAATTTGCCGAGGCGCCACAGGCCACGATGCGGTCGCAAGAGAAGAGGGGTGATTCACCAGTGAAGGAATTGCAGACCGAAGTGGATCAACTAGCCGAACAGATTTCAGCCCTGAAGATGGAGTAGCGGAGGCACTCTCGAACGAGCCGATGCTACAAATGTGGCGTGCCTGGCCACTGAAGGAAGCAATGTCACCCTATCCGACTGCTTGTAAAAAGTAAAACTATGGATAACTCCCCTTTTCCCGAGTGGGTTGTGATTAGTGCAGTGACGTAGGCTACTATACAAATCCGTGCAGTGCGAGTTCTGATCAGCCCCAGTGAAGGAATTGCAGACCGAAGTGGATCAACTAGCCGAACAGATTTCAGCCCTGAAGATGGAGTAGCGGAGGCACTCTCGAACGAGCCGATGCTACAAATGTGGCGTGCCTGGCCACTGAAGGAAGCAATGTCACCCTATCCGACTGCTTGTAAAAAGTAAAACTATGGATAACTCCCCTTTTCCCGAGTGGGTTGTGATTAGTGCAGTGACGTAGGCTACTATACAAATCCGTGCAGTGCGAGTTCCTGATCAGCCCGGACATAGAGCAGACAATCTTGGGAGCAGATTCTCTCAGCAGCGCAGAATCCGTGGTCGACCTAAAGCGGTGAAAACAGGTGACGAAGTAGGGCCCAGTCGAGCCTGAAGGTTACTCAAGCACTGCCGTGATTGAATCGCGTGTCCGAAAGCTTCATTCTTGTTACGTGCCGTCAGCACAGTCCGTGGTCGAGGAATACCCGAAATGTTCACTGGCGGTGAAGATCCGTTTGGCTTCTGCCGTGTACGAAATACAAGACTCACCTCTCGTCCGAATGCTTTCGACCTTACAGCCCCGTCAGCTGCTACCCCAGCTGCGGGAGGAGGTTCATAAACAAGTTCAAGCGACGTTGAACGAAGGTATATTCGGGGAAGGCAACAGTACACACAACACCCTGACCGTGATCGTAAAGAAAGTGAACTAAAATACTGGTTTCACTTGGGTTTCGGGCGTCCGAATCAACCACATGGAAAGAATTTTTAATTGGGAAACACCAACTAAACAGTTACAGACTACTGGACAGAAAAGTAAAACTCCCATATGCACCTTGTTTTTAAAACTAAATATCCGTTCTCTTCTTGAGCGCGTCTTTTTGAACTTTCCTGGATATTCATTGACTATCATGCAATCGTAAACAAAGGCTGCAGACCAGTTCCACAAATTCCGCAATAACTCCCACCTCCCTTTATACGCGAAGCGGAATTACGGGAAAACCACATACTACTCATTAGTAGCATCTACAGTTACACTAGTAGCATTTGATCATGACAAGAGCAACCAGTTCGTCATTATGTCACCATCATCATTAAAAATACTGGATAATCAATGCGAATTCTGCCTCTGAACCTACTTTGTCTTATTCTGCGACATCAGACTATGGTTCTTTGACGTACCTACATTAATGCATACAACTATACAACTATACAACTATACAAATCTGCTGGAATCTTGGAAGTCGATTTCTACATGGTGGTGTAGCTGAACCAATGACCCTTTTAAGCCTTTATATTCAAAGAGTAGTTTGTATGTCGGCTAAGTGATTGAGGAAAACGACTCGATAGCACTGGTTAAAAAGAACTAACTAAACCAAATTGATTTGCAAATGAGTGTATTTCTCGAAAGCAGTCCGATTTGGGTTCAAGTAGAACATAAAGTTGACGGAAACTCGGGGACTGTGCCTACCTGATGAGCTCCAAGAAGGGCGAAATCGGTCGTGGGCTGTCCAAGAGTTTTCAATAACCCTGTGAGTAAGATTTCTACATGGTGGTGTAGCTGAACCGATGACCCTTTTAAGCCTTTATATTCAAAGAGTAGTTTGTATGTCGGCTAAGTGATTGAGGAAAACGACTCGATAGCACTGGTTAAAAAGAACTAACTAAACCAAATTGATTTGCAAATGAGTGTTTTTCTCAAAAAATGTCCAATTTGGGTTCAAGTAGAAAATAATGTTGACGGAAACTCGGGGACTTCGCCTACCTGATGAGCCCCAAAAAGAGCGAAACCGGTCGTGGGCTGTCGAGGATTTTTCAGCAACCTTATGAGTAGTTTCCTGTATGAAAACTAAAAGGATAGTTTACGATTCTGGTGGGTCAGTTTGCCCCACTCCATCACACTTATTCCTTCGTTGTTAATTTTTCCGGCTTCACTCATGATTTCTTACCCCTACTGACCTACTGACCTATTTTGCCCGTTTTTTATTCTGGGTTGTTGTTTTGCATTGCGCTACGGTTAGGCCTCTCAGACTGAAAGGAGACTAACGTAGGTAGGTTGCGGAGCCCAGAGCCGTGGAGCCAGTGAGAATGGAGGAAAAGACGACTAAGCAGGAGCTTTAAATCAAACTTATTTTTGGAAGCCTCTGGATGCCAGAATGTGAAAATATCCTTTCAAGACTATCGTTTCAAAGAGGCTTGTTAAACAATCGGTTGTCTTTGATTGGGAAACGTTCCGCTTTTGACACAAATGCTTCATCACGCCAAGTAAACGAGTCGTCAATTTGGTCAGGTTTTAAGGCAGACGGAGAACCGATCAATAAGACGTCTTCACATTAGCCCATTCAAGTCCTTCTGAAACGATGAACTCTCAATCGATTCCAAATTTTTTTCCAGTAGGTTGCAGAGTAGTTAAGTAGTAAATAGGTCAATTGCTGTGGTTGGGTAAATGCAAAACTAAGCAGCAGAACTAAACAGCACTCTCGTTTGATCAGCCGTCCTCATGTCCTTGTGCGATCATTTTGATACTTCATCACCAGAGGGGGAAGCACTGTGCTCAGTTTTCGCTCCTATTGGAGCTCATTAGTAGTGGACGTCCACGACCTTGCCGGGATTTGAAATCCAGACGTCTGACAAACGAGATGAGTGTGCTGCCACTACATCACCAGCACACGCTCTACGCATCTGAATGTTTACGTCTAAACAGGCGAGTATTTTCTGGCTTTAATGATGTGAACGACTGTCCTGGATGTGCCTATCGAATTGCCCGCCTGTCAGCAGTTCTCATTCAGATAGCCCCACAAACGCTTGATGCCTGGAGTTCAAACTGTGACCCGGCCAGGGGTATGCACCGCTGACGAGCTCTAATAAGAGCAAGACACGAGTCTAGTGCACTCCTGCTTTGATGTGAACTCACCAGAGTGCCAACTGTTCACACGAGAGATATTTATGCTTCGGACTAGCTTGCTCAGTATTGACAAATGTAAAACCACATGTGAAGACTCAGAGACATGCAGTATGGGCTGAGTATGTAGAAACCGGATGCACTTGTTCTAAATATCGGGAGGTATATGAACAATCTTTGAACCCCTTATGGGGATGAAGTTAAAGTAATCCGCTTTAGTTCGGGCCTTTTGTATAAGGCAACTCAGGCTTATCAGGCGGTTTGAGTTGAGTACGACCCTAACAAAGACGAATCTGTGAGAGGAAACACACAGTCCACAGTTGGGTGAACAGCACAGAATACGAGTAAAAGGAAGAAGGTCTTTGCTGCTGAGTTATTTATAAGAAATCGCCAAGTGAGCAGTTACAGACTATTGGACAGGAAAGCAAAACTCTCATATGCATCTCTTTGAACGCGTCTTCCTGAAATTTCCTTGATATTCATTAAGTGTTACTCAAATTCAAGCAAATGCTACAAAGTGACTCCACAAATTCCGTAACAGATCCCACTTTTCAAGAGACGTGAAGCTGATTTACGAGCAGACACTACTCGCGTGCCCACCAGTAGTATCCACCGTTACGCTGATATGATACATTCGTTTCAGTCTGAAAAATATATCAGATGAAGGCTTCAGAAAAGCGTCTTGTGGGTACCGTACAATAAAGCTAGGTTTCCACGAAATTTCAACCAACCGGTTTATAAGTTACGTGCTTTACCACGTCCATTTTTGAACAGTGAACATGTCCGTTTTAAGGAGCATTTATAGAATTAATTCTAGTTTAGAATTCCTCCAGATAGAACCGCTGAAAACCTATCATCCAGATAGTAGTATCAGGAAATGCACTGAATTCCAGAAAATATACCTTAATAAATTGTGTTCCAGATTCTAAAGCAATTTGACTGCTGAATTATCATTCGAATTCCCGGTTGAATGCGCCTCCGCATATGACACCAGACATAAAAGCAAAAGTAGTTAACCGAATATGTCTAGCGCAATACAGAATGCTTTTATCGTTCATATCCAGAAGTGGGTGGAAACTGCCATAACTGCAGTTTCCGTTGCACTCGGCACTCAGAGAGAGCGACGAGTTTCATGTGACGGGAAATCCTGAGCGGAAAGCGAAATGACAATATGGCCATAAATTGAGTTCCACCTCCGATCGAAAAACGCGAGGGTTTGGTGAAAACCGATTAGCTGCCGTCAGCAGACTTCAGACAACATAATCAGAGTGAACTTGCGTGACATGTGACTATTTGGCACCACGAAAGGAATAAACTGTGAACTTAGCTGATTGCGTGTTTCGATTTCTTGGAAATGTGTAGTTTTATTGAAGTGCGAGATAACTCACTTCAGATTTGACTAGAATACAGTTCACCTACCCCAGTCTGAGGATTTTTCCGAGAGAAACATTTGGTCGAAAAAAATCAGTCACTGTGTTTTATGGGATTCAAGTACGAATACCTAAAATGCCTGAACTTTTCTAGGTCAGTTTTCCATTCTATCGGTCATCTCATGGGACACATCTTCGGTAATTCTCACCGCTACTAACTACTTCAGGTGATGGGGGATAAAATATATACCTGATACACAACTCTCAGTTTCGTTTATATCCATTTTGGATCATTTTAGATGTTCGCGTGGAAGAGAAACAGGTTTCCAACAGTTAAATAAATATGCAAGTAGACGGTCAATCTGGACATCAAAATATCCAAATTAGGGCGATTGATGAGATCCCTCAATATAGATTCACAAAGTAGTTTTTAAGTCGTAGTTTTTTAAGTCGTCGTGGATTAGTGACTCTGTGTACTATGCCAAAAGATGGAAGGTTTTCTACGGGGATGGTTTGGAACAACTGGGAAAAAGTGGAGGCCGATTCGGTTATGCACTACTCGTAAGGTGCTGAAAACTTCCTCGACAGCCTGGAAACATTGAAACCGAGAGATTCAGCTGGGTTCCAGGTGGATCTCTCAAAAAACCAAATTAGTTTGCAAATGACTGTGTATTCGCTAATGGAGGCCAATTCATTCACAGTGTCGGAAGACACTGCAACTCGCCCTCAGTCGGTCTTTCGGAGTTGACCGTGACACGCCTGATTCGTACTTTAGTGGAGTTACTCCACCCATTCATCTGAAGTCAAAATATTGGCTTGAACCAACTGGCCCATAAACCACGAATGATGTTTGGTTACTTAAATTTCTGATTGAAGCTATAGTTCGGTGAGAGTTAGGGCGCAGGGCAGACACTGTCGAATTTCACTATTCACACACGCTATTCGCACCTATTCCTTTCTAATTAAACTCAGATGGCTGACAGTTTTCTGGGAACTGGTTCAAAATGTGGGTGCATGAGTCCAAACAAAAGACACAGTACCTTCGATTGTCTCACAGACAGAAATGTCATCAAGTGGAAAAACCGTGCATTCGAAGACCTTTCTGGCGATTTGGTGAGCAATACTGCTCTCCTAGAAAGATAGCACCTTTGTGCTTAGAAAGCTACCTAAATAGGTGAATGGAGAGTTTCAAACAAGCTATTTTATGAAACGGAACCAAAACATTGAGTAAGGTATGAAAAAAGCCTACGGAGACCAGTTTGGTTGGGTTCATTGTGGGGTAAGAATGTTCCATTTGGGATAAATTAATGAGATATGCACTTTTTCAGCAGTTCCGACCAGACCTCAGCAAATGAGACCCTAAATTCCTCATCTTCTGAGCTTCATCTATTCCTCCGCGACCGTTAAACGACGGTTGTCCTAGGTGGAACAAGGCACGCGGAGCGCATTTTGTAAAGTCAGCAAAGAGATCATTTGATTTTAGCTCATTTGTACTTAAGACAGATGCGTACACACCCCTAACCTTAATCAAACTGTTCAAATGGCTTCTACGTAGGCGTGTTTTCATTAGAGTTACTCTGGTTAACAGAAGCATCGGGAACCGGATGCGTAAGTGTTAAAACCATTTCGGCAACTTCCCAAAAACCTTCCAGAATGATGATCGGGACAAGTGGAAGAATTTTTCACTAAATTTTTTTTACCATGGTCCCAAGTGAGAAAAGTATATTGTAAAATTCTTTTTGGGTGAAGTGTGATGACACGACCGTTTGTAAAAGTGATGATAAACCACGATGCGATTCCGCATGAATATGAGCCTTCAGACAATCAACACATAATACGGATATGTTGAATTGAAATATTGGTAGCTCGGGTGAGTTTATTGGTTGTTGATCAAGTGGCCGTCGATTTGTTCGCCGAGCTTGGCCATTGGCTTGCAAACGTTCCGTCACCATACGAGGAGATATCAGCAGTGCACGGTTGGGTGGTTACGTCTTCCTTGCCTGCGTGCGGTTACATAGCATTCGAAGGCTATCTGTTATCTTCTTACGTGATTGGCTACTTGGAGTGTAAAAAATTTGGTGGATCTATTGGTCCGCTCGCGGTCTTTGTTGCGTTGTGGTCTGTGTTCCATCGTGTTGATTGGTTATTTGAAGCCTTCTATTTTTAGTAGCTTGTTCAGTGGTTGCTCCACGGTGTCGTGGAGTAATTCTGTTGTGATTTTTGGAAAATCCAGTAGTATTGATTGGTACTTGAAAGTTTGAACTTCCGAAGCATTTGGTCTACCTGTGGTGCATACGTGATCAGTATGCTAAGTTATTCTTTGATGCCCTTAAGACATGACATTTTCGTACACGTTCAATGGCAAATCAAGCAGTCTTTGTATCAGTGTAAACTGTTCATCCTGACGCCGTTACAGTTGTCTATCAAAAAATTTGCACAGGGGGCGTCAAGACAAAACAAAAAACTACGAGCTAATCATTGGTAGGCATAAATTTCTTTGAGTAATCGGGTCATGGTAGAGCTGCGCACGTTTCATTCTTATCCATGCACAGCCCCTTAACTGAGAGTGTACTGACACATGTTCTAAAAGACAGTTTGTGGAGAACGATTCACTCGAAAGCATCAGGATTCACTTACATACAGTACTCAAGTCTCCCAAGTACAGTCTACAACTTCATGAATAAAACTGCCAGGAACTAGTAGAGCAAGTGGCGAACCTTTTGGTGGCAATCAGATGGTTCTACGGCCTACATATATTGACCTGAGCAATGGGACTGACCGACAAAACGCACTATGACTGTTGTGTCACTGGTTATTCATTCAGCGAATGTCACATGGGTAGCAAAAGTTTAAACAGTCTGACAGTTAAAAATCATTAGGATGCTTACTCACCTTTCAGTTCAGCGGTTAACTGAAGACGCGAGCTGAGTAGGACACTATTCACTCACCTATGGAATGGACAATGACTTCACCGCTTGAATGCATTCCCCACCTGGTGTATGTGTGGAAAGTGAGGGGATACTTGTCCCAATAACGTCGATCGACTGCCCGTGTGTGCTGCATGTAACCAGATGATTTTGTTCCAGTTGGTGAAGACATCAAGTGATGCTTTTCTCCACCATAAATGCCCCTCAAAAGGCCGCTTTCAAATGAATTTGTGGCCGACAAGCTCAGTGACAAGCTGCAATTGCCCTGGGGAACAAAGATCACAGCAGATAGTCCAACTGGTCTTTTAAGGTCACCGGACGGAGAGAATGTTTTCTATTGACCATGCGAACAAATCCTTACGGAAGTACTTTGATCTTCCAAAATGACACAATAAAGCCTTGTACCTGATGAAGTAATATCGTGACCGTCCCTTACAAGACCAGCGAAACAACTAGCATTCCCCTTGAAAGACCGTCATTACCACAGCCAGCGCGGCGATGGAAAACTTCCTTTCAATGTCTTCACTTAACGCAAAACACTGAACACTATCCGGACCTCTGACGTCGCCCCATCTTAACCACTTTCACTCATGGAAACATCAAAGATCAGCGAATGTTGCCGTGTATATTTCCACCAAGCGAACAGTGTCGAAATCGCATCAGTACTAAACTGTTTGGTGACATTCAGCGAACAGTGTCGAAATCGCATCAGTACTGAACTGTTTGGTGACGTTAGGCTAGAACACGATGAGTGTATGAGCCATCTATTTAGACCATTTGATAGGGAACATTTCAGCTGTTGTGAATGAATGTGGACAGGGACCACATCATCAGGCTAGAGATAACGGTGCTGACGCCAGTTTGCCGATAAAACATTTCCCAGGTAACATTAAAAATGAGTGTAGTAGTTCTGGGGTGTTTCCAAAGTTTCGTCATCACATGAGGAAACATGTGTTGGCATAATTTCAAACTCACTCAAACCGATGGCGTCTTCTGGTGGAGTGAAAAGAAACATTTGCAGTCTTGGTGAACAGATTGACTGCCGACTTAGTGGCCGTCAGTTCGCAGATATTTTGGTAAGGCATCGCTTGGACAATCTGAGGATAAACTAACACTGGTTACTGTAGGAGCCAGTAGATAACTTCGGAGAATCAAGGACATGGATACGGCCATAAATACTGAATAGTTTAAAAATAAAAAGGTGCTGGAAGAAAGTGCCTATAAAAATGTGGCCATCAGAACAGATCGACCAGTTTCCAGGCCCCTTATTCTCTATTCACTAGCACGAATTATCATTGAGTGGAGTTTTGACGCCGTAGAAATTCAACTTATCAGTCATAGGCTATTTGGCAATGCATACGCAATATCGACTGTCAGGTTTCTGAATTGTGCCCCCAAAATGTGGTTCCACTAGTATCCCCACCCGAGAGACACTTGCAAACTATGGAGAATTTACTGCACTGCACCGCCCACTATGTGCACTGATGGGTCACGTGATGGTATTACGTTGGTCACGTGACATGTCCTGCGACAAGATGAGGGACTTCAAAACATTTTGCCACAATGCCCACATGCAATCACTCAGACGTTCATGATTTCATCGAATGAAAGCATCTACCTTGTCGGTATGTAATATTTGAAGATTTTGGTGTACTTGAATCCGAATGGGGAAAGTGGTCAAAGGGTAAATCACACGTAACTGTAAAACTATGGGATATTTTTGAACAGCACAATAAATAAGAAAGAGTCATGGAAGATTACAGGACAACATGAAATATGTGTTCCTTTCGGATTTGTGCCATCCACAGTTTTCCAGTCAGGTGAAATGATGTCCAAGGTATATAGGAATTTTGGTATGGGAACATCCATGTGAAAAGACCAGAAAAAGAAGAATGGGCGAACAGTAACAAGTGCTCTTCAAGGTGCAGTAGGCGAGGATAAAGTGAAGATTCACATCCAGCACAAGGTATCTGTAGTGCAGAGACAGATGTGGAAGTCATTACCAGGAATCAACACTCAGCCCCATTTGCCATGCATGAAAGTGTCATAAGTAGTGTGAGCGAACACAAGTCACTGACTGTGACCTTCGGATACCCCAGTCCAGCAAAAATCTTCACGGACCGAGTAAAATGTCTTCCTCGGTATGAAATGGTCATCGGTTTGTGAAACAAAAACTAACATCATAATCGATACTGCTTCCGATTCTGCGTCCATCCGAGGTTGTGCTCATGTCTATCACCAGCGCTTCCGAATTGAGATTACGTCAGATTTGGCAGCAACCATTTATTGGTTTTTATCTGTCAGAAGGCTGAGATCCCGAACAATATCGTCAAATACAGGGTCCTTGAGCACTCTGAATAGCGCTCGGTGCTTAGTGGGTAAAAGCTTTTTCACACGCGATTCCCACCCCAACAGGATAGTTGAACTCATGGATAAGTTGTTTAGCGACTGATTGGCGTGCCCTTCACTACAAACCTTTGAGTTTGTTTCGATGGAACTGGCCAAATACAAGCCTGTGTATCAGTCTCGAGATTGGATAGTTCCTCCATCCTTTGATGCGGCTTCAACAATCATACGTCACCTCGTTAAGGACCTTCAGCAGCTGTTGTCAGTGGTTGCGCAGACACCCATACAGCCCACCGCGCTTGTTGGCCTTACAAGGCTGATAAGTCTATTGGCCAAGCAATAGGATGCAGTCGCCCGGTGTTTTCTCTCCCTACAACTCTCCTTTTTGTCATCTTTGGTCTTCAGCTGGACTCTTGCAATTCTACCTCAACAGCTTCGTGTTTCTGTTTAAGGTGAGCTTGAATTTCCGCGCACACGAGGCACAACCATTTGCCAAGGTGTAATGGGACTGGTGACCTAGTTAAGGCATCATCAATCCAAGGACATCATCCATTGCCATACGGGAAAATGCTTGGACAGTGAATCTATCTACTTCACCACTCAGAGGCAGTGAACCTCTTAATGGATGAAAAACGCTACAGAATTACAATTGGACAGGTAACGGTGATTTGGACATCTTGGCAGATATCACGCAGATCTGATGTGAGACAGAATCAGGAGCTCTTGACGTCAGCAAACCAGACTGAAGCTGGGAGCAGGTGCTGAAGAATGACAAAACGAAACATGTAACAGCAAGGTAATTTCCAAACAACCCTCTTGATAAAGAGGTGCAAATTAGAATCAAGGTGTCTGTAACATACACTGTCATTGGTTAGGAGATAAGAAGGGAGGACACGGAAATTAGTCACAGTTATTTTCATGAAGGAAACTACTCACAAGGTTGCTGAAAACTCTTCGACAGCCCACGACCGATTTCGCCCTTCTGCTTTGGGCTCATCAGATAGGCGCAGTCCCCGAGTTTCCGTCAACCTTATGTTCTACTAGTCACAGTTAGTTTGATACAGTCAAATTCTTGACCTTCGAAACTGGAGTGACCCCAGCTCAACAAAAATCAGGTGGACAAACCCAGATAATAAGAGCAAGAGCATTGACATTGAACCAGAAAGCATGCTGGACGTAAGCCTGTCCAAAGCTGTGGACAAATTGCCCATCAGGTGGATCGTACGTCCAGCGTTAGCCCCCTGTGATCGGCTCAGCTAAACAATCCGATAGTGGCACTGCGCGACTCGGCCGACTATCCACGTATTTTTCAGTGGATGACATCTGTATCCCACACTGTTTAGTTTCTTCCGCTATCCACCGAGCACAGTAAAAGCTGGTGGTGTAAGGTCTGGAAGTTGGCGCATTTGGCCTGAGCCATCTTGTTTCGCTTTGCCGGCACATCACCAGTGAGCTGGCAGCGACGTTGGGAGGTATTTTTCCGCATGTATGAAAATGTCTTGGTGCCAGGACTTGCTCGAGTGTCATTATACCAGCCAACAATTCTCGAGCTCAAGCCAGAAGGTCAACACTAGCGAGCAGACTGTAAGAGTCGTGTCTCATTAGTGACACGGTGCAATCCATGGTTGGTTTGAACAAGGTCGGGTGTGGAGCTCTTCAGTCGATGGTTTGTGCTCCTCAGTGTAGCATACGTAGCCAGATTTTATGGCTGATAGCCGACTGACAAATAAAATACTGCTACAGTCGCAAGATGAATAAAGCTTGTATGCCAGACGCAGGAATGACTGTGACTCTGGGACTAGGGGGAACCAAAAGTCTTCAGTCGGCCAAGCTAATCCGCGTTATGCTGGGTGGGATGCGCGTGTCAGCGGCAGTCACTCAGAAAAGTCGTCGTCAGAAATAAGCGGAACAGTAGGCACAAGTCAACAGCGTTTTTGCCAACGCTTTCATGGGTGTCGAGTTGACAGTGGGCCACCAAGCTAATCTCCTATTTGCAGCATTTGTCACAGTCCTCACACACGAACCGCACGAGTATCTCCTTAGTACGGGATTGAGCTGGTGCTGGGATGTCAGCTGGATGGTGTTGTGTACAATCGAAAATAACTGGTACTTTAAAGCCAAACAGGGTGGCGTACCGCGTCTAGAGTTGCCGAACTCATTGGTCACTCAGATTGGCGTCCAGTAGAGCCAGCTGACACCATGAGGGGGGGGGGGACGATTTAGAGTGCCGACTTACTGCACATCTTTACATAACGTACTACTTGTCGGGCTGTTTGTAACTTAGACAGTCCACAACCCCTTTTGCCTTGGGACTTTTCTTTAGTCTCCGGATTCTCATCAACCTTATCTCCTAAGTTGTGAGCTAATGTAGGCAGATGTCGAAACGCACCGAATTGGCAAACCAGGTTTCTCTTAGGTTATTGATACGAATCAAGCTTTTAATATAGTCACACTCAATTCTTCTCAGTTAAATAAAAACCACCGTTTATAACTATATTCCTTATTTATTGAAAGGGAATTGCTGAACTAGGTACCCAACACCCAAGGAAGAGCAAGACAGAGAGCATGCAATCAGTAGATTTATTAGCGGACAAAGTTTTTGACTCCCGACTCTGGTTCACATCACGCGAGTTAGCTGCCGGATATCGTGCGCAATTATTTGTGACCTATATTGGTGGGTTTGACTCACGACAAGTAGGTTGGCGCACGGTGATTTCCGACAGATTTTCCAGTTAGGCATACTGCTACATTTGGTTACTCTCGGTTTCGCTCGGTGGATATTTACGGTCAATTATCAACACGTTATTCACTTCCAACATGATCCACTTTGGCCTTGGATGAACGATATACGGAATAATATGATCATATCATGTTACTCTATATTATATTACATTAAATCGTATTACATGACACCAGAGTAACTATATTGTACATAGCCACACCACTCTCGTTCGAACTTCTGTGTTCCTGTTCTGGCGTAATTATTTCGGTGAGTCCACACCAAACGGGGGAAGCACTGGACTCGAGTTTCCCTCTTATTAGAGCTCATCAGCAGTGCCTATCCAATGGCCGTGCCGGGATTTGAACCCCGGAGATCTGACATGCGGAGCGAGCGTCCAACCACTACTCCACCAACGCACGTTGGACGCATCTGAATTTTCACCTCTGAACAGGCGAATGTGTTCACACTTGAGCGATATGGTTGGTGTGCCCGAACGACCTAGTAACTGTCTTGGTTGTGACGATCGATTGACCCGCCAGTCAGGACTTCTCAGTCAGGTAGCGTGGCACATGTTTGAAACCCACTGGGCAAATTTTTGGCTGCAATTCTGGGGTTTTGCGGGATAGGTATTTTGTTCATAGCCACACCACTCTCGTTTGAACTGCCGTCGAGTCCAGTACTTCCATTTGGTGTGGACTCACCGGAATAATTACGCCAGTACAGGAACACGGCCGTTCAAACGAAAGTGGTGTGGCTAAGAACAAAAATACCTATCCCGCAAAACCCGAAAATTGCAATTGAATTGTACTATATTGTACACTATATAACGCTGTATTATATATTATATTATATTGTCACAGTTATATTATATCACCTTATGGAATAGTTATTATATATATGCACAGAATAATTAAGTTACTCACTGAAAACGCATCGTCTAGAATTCGACCAATAGAACTTTCTATTATCTTTCAAGGTAGGTTGCTCTGCCTCCTAATGAGAGCAGCCAGCCGTCCGCACTTCGTAAACTTCGCCTCAGTGGTGAGGTTTTTTATTATAAACCACCGGATGTGTGCCGTCGAATGCTGTTGTGTTGCGGCAGTGTTGACCGAGGCCTGTGACCTATCAGGTGTCAATGGTAGAAGACAGAGAACTGCATTTCATCAGTCTGCGATTAACTGTCCTCACTTGGGCAACGGCTTCACGGGGTGAACTCTGCCTTGTTGAGTGGGTATAGTGGTCAGGACAGACCGCTGCGTTTACGTTGAGAAATAGAGTCATGAATCAGAAAGAATAAAGGGTGCTCAGTGGAATGGATCGAAAAATGCGGCCCCCATGGTGTCTCTAACTTCCTGTTTGAACGAAATATGCATGAGTGAGTAAGCTAACTATTTATTAATTAATAAGAACAATACGTATCAGTAAACCATGCGGAATAGTCAAGAAGACTGCGTCACTTACGCATCTACGTTATCCGATGGCTAACTGTGCAGACAAATTTGGTAGTCATGTACAACATTTTTTATTCGTAGCATTTGGTATGCAATAGAAGAACTACTACTCATACTATTTGTCTGTCCATTGTATGTGCAACTTATATGAGTCGGTCCATTCGCACACTTGGAATGTTTGATCCTCTCCGGCGGATGCAAACGATGACAGAGAAAATGAAATCTAAAAAGTATCCTTCACCTAGCGATTATTTACAAAGTCCTTTAACCGAAGACTGAAGAATATGTGGCTCGTATCACAGTCCTGTTGGACCACATGGTTTTATTGCCCCGCCACACTGAAGAGGGAAGGGATTATATGCGGCTGATTTAAGAAAGAACTAAAAAGAAACGGCTAGTGGCTGTACGGTGAAACTAATCGAGTTGGACGAGTGGATCGTTGGGCACCTCCTGCTGTTTGCCTTCAGCTCGACGACGGAAATTGTGCATTTTGAAGCAGCTACGACCAAGTAAATGAGGAACAACGTACCTGGATATTTGTATTGGACTCCCGACGCTGGGGCGCAATTCGTACGAGAACATGAGAGCGTCCACCTTGGTGCAACGAAGAAACAAGCTGAGATGCGATAATCACGTGTAAAATGAATAACTTTCACGTGTCTCCACTTGGAGAATAGCACTGTTGTCCGTGATAATTGAAAGTACAAATATTGATCAAGCATGCCACTAGATCGTTCCCATTTACTGTGGAAAGGTACTCCTGTGCATCAAGGAACTGAAGTATACTGGGCTCTGATCTCATATGCATCCAATACGAGCAAACAGAACAAGAATGTGCTTACCTTGACTGTATCCCAGTTGCTTTGGACTATCTTTTTGAAATACGCTGATTTGCAGACAAATTTGGTTTTTCGAGAGACTCACCCAGAACTTAGTGGGATCCCTCGTTTATCACAGGTCGCCTCATGATTCAGTTGGCACGATATTTGAGATATCGCAGAATATTTTCATGAAGGAAACTATTCACAAGGTTAGTGAAAACTCTTCAACAGCCCACCACCGGTTTCGCCCTTCTTGGGGGTTGACGAAAACTCGGGGACTGCGCCTACCTGATGAGCCCCAAGAAGACCGAAACCGGTCGTGGGCTATCGAAGAATTTTCAGCAGCCTTATGAGTAGTGTATTACATCTTTTTTATCAACTTTTCAGATGGTGCATCGGTAGAATGTGCTCCACTTGCTTGTTGATGGATCGACAACCAGTCGGCCCACTTTGTGTAA